GCATATGAATCTAAAACCTCCAAGTAAAAATGCTATTGGATCTGCCCCACTTCATATTTGTCCCTCTTCCCCTCCCGAGTGCACTCCACAAACTATTGAAACACTGGTTGACATGATGTCACTTCCCTCTCCCACTACCGAAGACAATATTGTTTTTGTTCTTCCGACTGATGTATTGGCAGATGGTTGACTTGAGCATGCTAGTCTCTATCACTGTTGAAAACAATACTGCAGGATCCTTACCTCCAAAGGATATTCTTCGGTCAGATAATCAATATAGTATTACAGCTCCACATCCTCAGGAAGAATCAGGTGCTGAGGAGACATGTTTACCATCTCTTCAAAATGAGAATGTTGTTATTGTTAGTCAGAAGCTGGGGGCTCATCCTTTTCTCATTGCCCGACAATCTGTTGACTGCCCTGATCAGATGAGTCAGTCTTCGGATGAGGAATGACAGGTATACACATTTAGGAAGAAAAGAAGAATGGAGGCACACTCCAGCTTGGGAATTTAGTGGATGAAACTTTAGTAACTTCAGGTGATGGCACGACACTCAGCAATTTGTTAGCTGACTCCGCTCCTAGAACCAGAGGCAGAGGCAAGACCAAGCTAGCTCGTCCCTAACAACTTATTTTCTGCGAGTTTTGAATTTTAAAGTTTTATCTATGTCTTATTTTTTTTAGAATGCTAGTGTCAATGTATCGTATGGGTCAAGCACCTTTATTGGATCCTCTCATACAACATTTATGTACCTTTTCAATTTCAATAAAATTAGCCCTTCGGCGTTGGACCAATCCATTGATCAAATAATCAATCCTCGGATGAGGAATGGCAGGTCTACATATCCAGGAGGAAGAAGAAGAATAGAGACATACTTGAGCTCAGAAATTTGATGCATGATACTTTGGTTACTTCGGGTAATGGTACGCACCTTACCAATTTGTTAGCTTGCTCTCTTCCGAGAACCAGAGACAGAGGAAGAACTAAAGTGGGACGTCCCTAACACATTTGCGCCTTTTAGTAGATTTTTGGTTTTTTATCTTTATGTAAATTTGCTTCTTTGGGTTTTTTGTGTGTGTTGTATTGTGTGAGTTGGGTCTTCTTTTAGGTCATCTTATACAACCTATATGTACATTTCTTTAATATATTAGCCCCTGGGGTTTTTTTATATATATATATATATATATATATTATTTCAAAAGAAGTTGAAATAATTCTAAATTAAAAAGTTTTCTCAAACTTACCTCACTTAATCTTTGATTTAATTAAACCAATTATTAATAAGCATAAATATGAAATTCATAATTTAATATTTATTCGCAAACACAGCTACAGAAACCTGCTCATCTCCTTTTTTCTTCTTCGAGCACGACGATACTTCCTCAAGCTACGGCTCGGTCCAATATCCGCACACAAAGCCTCACTTGTTTGATTCTTCTTCTTAGGATAGGAAGCTTGTGACCTTCTTCCCGCGATCACCTGCTCTGAAAGCCTAGGGTTTGGCTTGCTTTTCCTTTCTTTGCACTCGACTTGTCTTCTTCCTTAGCATTGAATGTCGTGAGCAGCTTGCTGTCCATTCTACCTTCGCACGTCATGAGAGCTCTGGTCAAAGTCGTGGCACAACCCAGCAGCATAATCATTGTTCGACTCATAGGTAAGTTATTTTTCGCCTTAGTCGATCTTCCTACGCGTCAATTTATACACAAAAATATCTTTTCATGTTCTCGACCCTTCTCGCGTCATCCCCCTTCGTCATCTTCCCAACTCCTCGCTTTCTATTCTACGGCTTCCTCATTTCCTCTTCTGGCTCTTCATTTCTTCTTCCCCAAGTAAATAAAGTGGGACTTCACATTATCAACTAAGCATAAAAGATATGGTTTGAAGGTGCTTAGTTGAACACTAAAACAAAGGCTATACGTCCATGCTCAAACCATGCCCTCGACAAATGTTGATTTTAAAATTATTATTAAAAATAAACTGCTAAGAGCCCCATTTAATACAAAGAATTTTTTATTTATTTGATAAAAAATTAGCGTATATTTAAGAAATTACAAGAACCTAAACATTATCAAGTAACAGCCAAAAGCAACACAAAAAGTAGTACAATTAATACAATAAGTCTTCAGTTATACCAATAAATGTAGTAAAAGAGGACATTTGGGATGAAAACAAGGACTATCATAACCTGTGCGTGCAAAGTTTCACACACTAGATCACCTAACATATTCAATCAACACAACACAAAGATATAGAGACAAAGGGAAACTGTATTATCAACAATTTGAATTAGCTACATATAAGTAAACCCCCTCATACTTATACAAAATGCAAGAAAATAGTTTATGAACTAAAGAGAAGTAAGGTTCACAAATAAGGCCACATATAAAAGTGATTGAGACGCCAACAACTTGGAACAGAGAGACTTGGGTAGTGGTTGAAGAATCAACACCATACCAATCTGGAAGAATGATATGTGAGCTCAGACTCTGGCCCTAAGCCCATTTCCGAGGGGTGTCAGCTTGAGAGAGCTGATGACTTTAAGGTGACATAACATTAAGTGCAACAGGATGACAGAAAAAATTACAAGAATTTTGTGTAAGGCGTCTTTGAAGCCTACAGGACTAAGGGTCTTCAAGTCAAACAAAGCATCCAAGCATCGGTTTGGCAACAATTCTATGGGATGCTGAACTTTGGAGTCTGGCTTGACAATTCTTGGAAGACACATGGACCAATGAACAAAGACAAATAGGTTAACAAATTAACACCGAACAAGCATGGTGTGAGTATGAAACATAAAAATCTTGAGAATTAGCAATATCAAAGCAAACAAAATCATCTAAAGTAAAAATAGAAAGCTAAAAAGAGGAATGATCATCATAGTCTAAAGATAATGAGTCCGCGAATGGGATTCATTACACTTATTAGTGAGATAAGCCTAACGAACACCACATATTCATTCATAAGGCAACATTGATCGGACCATAAACAGGAATAGGATAAGCTGCCAAAAAATTAGCTAGAGCATGCTCTTGGACAACCCACTAAGGTACAAAAGTTATATCAAATTGAAGAAGAATCATAAACCAACATGCCAAGTGGCCTTACAGTGCCGAATGGCTCATAAGATAATGCAATGAATTGATTCATTAGATTAAGTGAATCTTGTACGACAACATATAATGAGAGATTTCGCACACCAGAGGTCAACACAAGATGATGTTTGTCTATGGTGGGATGCTTATCTTCCACCAAAATTAGGTGTCGATTAAGATAGTACAAAGAATTCTCTTGAGCTAGGAGGGAGCCAGAAGACCCGTCGAGAGTGACTAAATAAAGAATAAAAGGCTTTTAAGGAATTGAGGAAGCCAACACTAATAGTTGTATCAACTAATGCTTGATGCTATAAAAAACCATCATAAACCAAGGATCCCACCAAAACGAGCATCCTTTCTCGATAGCGCCGAGAATGGTTGGCATCTACTGGCAAGTTTCTGGATAAACCACTGCAAGGCATTATATCTAGAATGATTTTGATCTTTGAATGATCAATCTCTGTCACACTTTTGTCAACACATCGAAGGCCCACTACACGGGATTCATCTTGAGGTCAAAAACTAACGCAAAAGTTCAAAGAATGAAAATCCCAACTCTTTCATCTTAAAACTTCTAAGAGGTTTCATATTTGGACACGATTTTTTTCTCCTTCAGTTGTGACGCTAGTAGTTCTTATGCAGAAAGGGTTGACCTCGTTCTGCCGTAGCTCGCCTGATCTCCTCTACAAATCGAAGATAGCTCACACGCGTCAATCGATTGCGTACTGCATTTTTGGCCTAACCCACGATACGTCCGCCTCTTCTTCCACTTTCGAGTCACTCAACAAGTCCTTCCTCAAAACTCAAAATACACGCATGAGCCCCTTATTGTCTCAGATATTCGAACTCAAGCTAATGCCGCCCTCGCCTACTCAACGTGTATTGCTCAACTCTATTGCACACTTCTCTGCTTTGCTTCTCGGGAAGCTGAAGTGATTCAACTTCAAAAGGTTCACGGTCAATCGTCATCACCTGCCATGGAGCCTCTCGAAATCACGCATGAAGGTGCCCTTTGAATTCCTTCTTCCTCTCATTCGATTTCTATTCGCAATTTCATTCCTTAAACTCAACTCTCCCAAGCACATTTCGCCCCTTCTTAAAAGCCTGAAAATGTAACACGGGCGTTATTGGGGTTTTTTTTTTTAGTTCAATTGGAGGTTAAATCACATGCAAGTCTCATATATGTCGTCTTTTTCAATCTACATTCTCACGATCATATTTTTTTTTACAAACTACTTTCATGTAAATTACGATTTATGGAAATTATTCTATTATTGTTGATGCAATTTGACAAAAATATTCAACATATACTAAAAATTACTCATGTTTTTTTTCTTTCAAAAAGCCCAATTCCTCGTTGTTCAGGTGCCATGTTCGATCGACTAAACCTTATGACCTCCCTATTTAATTGAAACAAAAATTAACATTAAGACAAAGAATTTGAACCTAGTGATTGGAGATGGCTATTTTTTTTAATGTTTGAAGTTTTGAGCCATTCACTTTGCAATTTATATATATATATATATTAAAACATTGTGTTGCATCAAAATCCTTAAAAAACAAATTCATCACAGAGAAGGTAAGATGAACACTGAGACTATAAGAGTGACATTAGCTTATTCGGATCTTTACTCAACCCAAGAGCGTAAAACACAAAATAATGATAATAGCAAACAAGAGAAAAAACTACCATAAATACAAAGGACACTATTCATTTACAGCAGATCATCATCATTATCACAAGTTTTCTTTTTCCTTACAAAGGATACTAATTCAATTAAAACGTCATGTGTAAATCTGGTAGGCGGTAACATGCAAGAAATTAAATAAATGTACAAAGACAAATATTCCAGAGAAACTTCCAAAAATGCTAATTGAGTAACATGCAGCAACAACTAGAAACATACCTTCCTGTGAGATTTGCAAGTTTGCATTGCCAAGAGTGCTTGATCAGTATCAATACTACGATGAAGAATATGAACTCTGAAAATTGACCAAAAAGGCCTCAAAAGAACCCACTGCTGCTCTAAAGCATGATAAGTAGGGAGAAAAACCAATAGGCTCTTCTCAATATTAGGTTCCGTTTGATTAATGAACAAAATTAACTTATGAATAAGAACAGTAAGTTCTGGTTTCAGGTCAGCAGCAGCATATTCTGGGTTTGATCCAGAACAGTATCGATCAGACAAAGCTTGTGGACTTATTTTAAGAAGTTCTGCAACCTGTTTGGCAGGATATTAGCTTCTTCTAATCACTATTTGAGGAGCCCCTGACTAATCAGTAATCATAATATATAAGCATTAAGGTATGCATATCAAAAACAATTAAAAGTAAAAGTTGATAAAGAACGATCTGGGGTAAGGTTTTTTTAACATACCAAGAATGATAGGATATAGACAAACTACGTAAGGTAATTTAAGATTTAAAGACTGCAAACAATTAAATAAGCCAAAACACGTTCTCTTAAACACAAAGCGGTAAATATAAGAATTTGAAATCATATGATAAAGCAACAATAGAAAAAACTTATATAAACCAGCAAGGAATCGAACAATGAAAATTAATCATTTATTATAATTTAATTAGCATGAATACATTTCAATTGTATTCAAAGTCGACCATCTGATGATCGGGTTAGGAAAGTAGATGTTTTAGATTCGATTTATGTTAAAAAAGGCAGAGGGAGACCTAAAAAGACTTGGGCATATTGTATAAAAATGATCTTAAACTTATTAGAATTAAATGAAAATATGACATTCAATAAGACGCGATGGAGAAAAGGGATTCATGTAGCCAACTCCACATATTGGGATAAAGGCCTGTTGTTGTGCATTCAATTTGAATAAAATCACGAACACAAAAAAACTAAAATAATATATATAGAAATAGGATAAGGAAAGACTTTAACAAAGTAAGAAAATTCAAGACTCATACCAATACAAGAGATGACTTTCCAAGTAATTAGGTAGCCATATTTGAACCAAACTCTAAGGAATCATATATTTAAGAGATTGAAAACTGAGACAAACTATTATTCAATCAAAGATATCCAATTATATGCCTAAAAACAACTATTTACAAACTCTCATCTCTGGGTTAGTAGATATGGTTGGCACAAAATTAGCTAAATCTGATTCAAAATAACCATCAAGTTCTATATTAATCTTATCCAAAACCGCATGAAAAAAGTAAATTTAAATCAATAGCAATAAATATTTCATCTTGTGAATGGATCAAAATAGCAAGTGATGTCAAAACTAAAAGCTCGAGTGGCATGGCATAGCAATGCCAGCTAAAATAGATTTCATTAGTGCTAAATTGCCAATTTGGCAGCAATAGAAGTAGCTGCAAAAACATAAGGCAAAATAGTCCAGCAACATCAAGCAAACTACAAACCCGAAAGAGCAAATGACTAGAATAACAAAAAACAATAAATTGTTATAGTCAAACAACAATATGCCCGACAAGTAAAGGCTCAATATTCCAAGGAATTGAGCTTTTGATATAAAATCAAACCAATAGAGGCACAGAAACTAAACTAGAGGGGGTTAATCTTTAAGGTATCAAAGAAGCAAACCAATCTAATCTCAATACCAAATCAAATAGACCAATTTAATATTAGAAAATAGTAAATACACATTTTCTCAAGGTTCCTTGGCAAAAGCATGTCTTAAACTACTGAAATTATGAAACTAAATAAAATTAAACAAACCAACCAATGGAAACAAACAATTTTTTGCTCAGATCATTACTTTATGTGAAGCATCCACTGAGAATAAGCATAAAACTTTCTATCAACTTTGCTCTACTAGAACAAATTTAGCTCTAAATTTAGTAATCGATACTCATCAGGCAATATATATATATATATATATATATAGATAGATGTTGTGCTTCATGCAAACTAATCTGAGTCATCATTAACAAGTTTGTCAAACCAGCAAAGAAAACAGCTTAAAAAGATACTATCAGCAGTGGATATAAACTCATCATTGAGAAAGCTTCAGTAACAAAGTACATGAAAATATTTGGTACAAGATCGGATGTGATTTTAAGAGAAGATGGAAAAGAGGAGAATCCGATTAATTAACTCGTGAAATAAGGTTAAGTCATAGACATTAAAACTCAATTAATACTAGAATATTTTGGAAATTCTAATATACAGGTATTATTCCAAAGGGGCATAAAATGAATTTTAAATACTTTCGCACTCAATTTCTTAAAAATTCTAAATAGAAATTTAAAAGCACCATAACTTCACCACCATGCTTTAAACAACGAAAAAAACAAAACACATCATCAAGGTCTTAAGAAAATACATATTCATAAATCATGATAATCAGAGGACTAGAACCAAAAATGAAATGTGAGACGAATCATGTTGCAGAATAAGATAAAAGCTACAAAAATGCACAGAAAACATGGTACAAGTTGTGTATGTACTAAAAAGTAGTGTTGGCGGAAAACAGCAAAACAAACCAAGTGAGAAAGTTCAGGTCATGTCAGATATGAAACTTTACTGAAAAACAAACAAAAGAAAGCAAAAGAGGACAAGGTAGATATGCAGCACGGAGAAATCTGCAGAGAATTCAAATAGAGATATAAAAGGATATCAAGATAACAACAATGAAATAAAGTCAGATGAAAGAAGTTTAAATAGGAAGAACGCTAAGATGGAAGAGCGCGTCAAGCTCCTAGTAGGGAAGAAGAGCCAATATACAAATTAAAAATTTGTTACCTGTTCCAGATATAGAACTTTTCTCTGAAATAACCCATCTCGAGGAGCAGACGGAATTGCAATCACTTCAACCCTTTCACCCCTACCAAGATCTTTGAAGTAATCTCTATATCTTGAAATATCAGCTGTAGCAGACATCAATACCACCCTGGGAAAAAAGATATCACTCAATGCTGCCTAGAAGATTATCCCACGTCTTAGGGGAAAACAATTACAGGGATTACTTGAGGCAAATTAAATCAGCAAAATATATATCTGTCTATCTATCTATATATATATATACATACATACATATATACATACATATATATACATACATA